TGAATTATCACCTGTAGAAGAATGAAATTAAATGCCTGTATTTCACCTTGCACAAATGTCAGTTCCAAATGGATCAAAGATCTCAAGCACTGCCTGAAACTCTGAAACTGTTAGAAAAAATCATTGGCAATAACCTACAAGACACAGGTGTAAGAAAGGATTTTCTAAACTGGACAGGAAACAAGGTAAAAAAAATCAACAAATGGGACCTCATTAAACTAAACAGCTTCTGTACATTAAAAGAAGAAGCCAAGGAAATGACAAGAGGATGCACAGAAAGAGAGAAAATCTTCACCAACAACACAACTGACAGAGGTTTTAACATCCAGAATATATAAAGAACTAAAAAAACAAAGAATTAAGAAAGGAAATAACCCAATTAAAAGATAGGCTAAGGAGTTGAACAGAGAGTTCTCAAAAGAATAAGTAAAGATGGCTATGAAACATCTTAAAAGATGTTCAACATCACTAATAATCAGGGAAATGCAAATTAAAACCACTTTAGGATTTCACCTTACCCCAGTCAGACTGGCTAAGATCAAGAAAACAAATGATACCAAATGTTGGAGAGGATGTGGAGAAGGGGAACACTCATCCACTGCTGGCAGTGCTGCAATCTGGTTCAACCCCTATGGAAAGCAGTGTGGAGGACTCTTAAAAAACTACAAACGAACCTCCCATTTGACCCAGTTATACCACTTCTTGGCACATGTACATCCATGTTTGTTGCTGCTCTTTTCACAATAGCTAAGAGATGGAAGCAACCTAAATGTCCCTCAGTTGATGAGTGGATAATGAAAATGTGGTTCATATATATGATAGAGTCTTGCTCAGCAGTAAAGAAAGATGAAATCGTGAAATTTGCAGGTAAATGGATGGAACTAGAAACTATTATACTAAGTGAAGTAACACAGACTCAGAAAAAATATTGACATATATTCTCCCTCATATGTGGGTCCTAGAACCAGACTCTGATAAATAAGTATGCAACCAGACATAACTACCAGAACCAGGACAATGGAAAGGAAACAGGGAGGTAAAGGAAAATAAATAACATGAAAGAGAAGTACAGTAGGAAACAGGCCTTAATAAGGGAGATACGGATAAAAATTGGGTTAGTTTAAGGGAGGGGGGAGGGAAGGGTATATAAGGAATCTAGGGGATAAAGGGAAAAAAGGAGCTCAAGAGAGGTAGGACCAAAGGAGAAGGGTATTAGTAAGGGAGAATGGGGGGAAATTGGGGCACCTTAAGTGGGAAAACCATGATGGAGGGGTGAGACAATGTGAGAGATAAACAATGCCTAGATAGTTTTGAAAACCAGAGAGAACCATATTACTCCTGCAACCTACTGACAAATTATACGTAGCAGATCAAGAAATATATGTCTAGGTAAGGTTTATCTGAGAACTGATCGCTACCCAAGATTTATCTACATGACATACAGTAATTAAAAATACCCAGACTGGTGGAACTAACTTTCTTGGGTGTTTAACAGACACACTTTGAGGTCTGTAATAATTTGGTCAGAGGGACATAAAGGACACTTTTTTCTCCTTGCCCTCCTAAGTCGACGAGTTCCAAGGGACTATGAACATCTCTCAAAATGTCCTATAATGGTGGTGGGTCACCTGTCCTCTTGATCAAGGAGGCCAAGGAGACCTCCTTGGACTTGAACCAGTGTCCAGTCTATAAAGAAGAGGGGCAACAGAGAGGAATCATTTCCTCCATGCTTCTGGGCAAAGCCAACTGTGGTCGAGCAGGACCTTTGACTTATCTTCACATAGGTGGAACTGGTAAAAGAAAGGAGGCAGGGGCTCCTCCCAAGCCCATGTGACCCCTGAGGAACAGATCCTGAAACAACCTTAAGAGTAAAAATAAATCGGTTTTATCTGGATCAACTATATGGCCTTAAACACCCAAAAGGAAAATATAACCAAAGATTAAATGGGCCAACATAATTTCCTAAGTGTCCATATGTATAGCTAAAGGCTACATAACAAGCAACAATGCCAGACAAGCGATACCTTCTTTTGAGTTGATGGCCAGGGTGGCCAAAGGGATTCTCAGATAGTAACATTGCATAGAACTGGGAAAATGAACAGTAGACCCCAATCTTATCCAAAGGAATATAGACAACTGATTACCGCTAGATGAAGAACAGCTGACCTTCCTAAAACAAAGACCTCTAAATAGTTTGACTAGATTCACCAGAAGGGCAAGTAGTGGGGAATGGGGGTGCCAACAAC